AATATTTCAAAGTCATTACTGGATTCCATGACACTGGCCTTGTATTGAGAAGTGAAAGTTTCTCAATGAAAAACAACAACAACAACAACAACAAAATCGATAAATCTCAGGTAACCACCTACACTGCTAGGCTCCAGCCCAAATCCTAGGGCTAAAAAGGCATAATCATATTCTGTTGATTTGAAACTGATACCATATTTCATATAACAGATCTCAGAGAGATCATTTCTTGGGAGAAAACCTGTAACAAGTGATAGTACAACATCCTTATCAACAAGATCCCAGAAAAATTAGCCAACATTAACAAATCAATTACTATTACATAGCAAAAGAGCACAAAACAAATATGTAGCTTGGGTCAATTCCTGGCAGAGAGGAAGCAGAAGAGTTCCTGAGTGAAAAAATGTAAGTGTGGCCTGAACTTTAGCCAAAGAAACAAAGTAAAGGCAGTTGAAATTTCAGTTTACTGAAAAGCAGGTAGCTGAGAGTATTTTAGCATGAAATTCTCTAGTGACCTGTGAGGCATTATGTAAATACAAATAGTGACTCAACCTTCAAGGACATTCTGGGCATCTGGCAAGTTACTCAATGTTACAAGTTAAACAGGTAACTTTATGGTTGCATTTTATGAAGTGCATCCATATAAGTAAATACCTATTTTTAATTTTTTTAACGTTTATTCGTTTTTGAGAGACAGTGCATGAGTGTGGAAGGGGCAGAGAGAGAGGGAGACACAGAATATGAAGTGGGCTCCAGGCCCTGAGCTGTCAGCACTGAGCCGGACGCGGGGCCTCGAACTCACAAACTGCGAGATCATGACCCGAGCCGAAGTCGGATGCTTAACCAACTGAGCCACTCAGGCGCCCCAGTAAATATCTATTTTTAGTTAATTATTAAAAAAACTCTACATAAATATTCCCTTCATTTGTTAAAATTATGCATGATCTTTGTGGATCTTTGCACCCTTGAAGTGCTTGAAAGTACCACAGAGTTTTAGAAAGTTAAGATTAAGTGACCCACCTAAGTAAGACTACATGCACAGGAGAAGGCACTGAAACTTAGGTTCCTAGGTACCATCTTCAGTCATCACTGATTCATTTAAGTAAGTTCAGTAAGCATTAAATAATTATAAGCCACTATTTACAAGATCCCTGCCAGAATGGTTTGCAGTTTATAGTGAAAACTTTTAATCCAAGTTTCTAATTTTATATGCTTTCAGAATAATTGAAATATTCAGATGAAGACATGTATAAGACACTTATAATTGGAATCTATTAAGCTTACTTCATGGATAGCATTAAATAAAATGTAGAATTAGAAAAATGCCAATGGATAGGAGTTTCAATGAAGAATCCATCAAGAGATTTTTTAGAACTCCAAAGGTCATCTATCTTGACAAAAGACCTCTCTGGGCAATTGTATAGTTATGGAAAGTCATGCCATACAGCAATGTCCAACACAACCGTTGTCCCTTTTTTTATTCTTTGCACAATGAGACTAGGTCTGCATTCTCCACAATTCTATGGGAAGCTTCCATAGAAGGTATTTCCAAAGTAGCCTATATGGAAGTACTCAAGATAAGAATCTATAAGCAGTGGAAAGATGTCTTTCACATTTTGTACATTCTGTGAAACCAGGTCAGAGCAATCATAGTCACAGCTGCTAGCCAGCTGCAATCTTAGTTACTGGCTGGCAGGTACACGTTTCTTTTCATTCAGGCTAAGGGGATTATTTGGACATTCGGCCTTTTGTCCTTAGTTAAAACCCATCTATTGTGTGTACTTTACACACACACGCACACCCCTACTCTGGATTCACAGAGTCTTGCCATGAAAAAGCTGTTAAAAATCTATTGTGAGTTGTGAAATATCTATAGTCAGTATTGACTTAAGAACACGTTATGGCATTCTCTTAAGCTCAATGTTTCATTGGGTCTTTATTTCATTATGATTTATAGTCTTACTAAGTAACATTGTGTATTGGTCATAATAGGCTAGGCTATGTTCTTGTAACAAATAAAGCCTGGAATATTAGTGGCTTAACACAATAATGGTAACTTTCTCACCCAAACACCAGTGCAAGTCTTTATCTTTTAGGGACTCTAGTTTACAGCTACTGTATCTAAAACATGAGACTGTTAGAGCAGGGAAAGACAAGAATGGAGGAGGCACACTGGCTCTTAACTCCCTTTGCCCAGAAATGATATATGCCATTTTCGTCCATACTCTATTAGTTAGAACTAGCCACATGGCCCCAATATAACTGTAAGAGAAACTGGGAAAAGTAGTGTCATGCAGATCATGGATATTGTGAACACCAACAGCCTCTAGAATATATCCGTTGCCTAAAGTCACACTATCATTTCTTTCCTCCAATTGTCAAACATTATTGATTACCTTCTAGCTGCAAGAATTTGTGCCAGACGCTGGAAGACTGCAGAGATGAATAAACCGTCCCTAACAGATTGGGGAGACAGAAAAGAAATTATAATACAGCTGTACTGTGAAGCAGAAAGAAAATGCCCCAAATAGAGGTATACACCACGTTCTATGAAAAAGAACAAAGAGGAAGATGGAATTAATTCTTATTGGAGGAATCCCTGAAATGGTAGAGAGATGATGACATATTTGCTGGACCCAAAGGGGGGAAAAAAAAGACTCAGACCAGTTTGAGATGGAAAAGAGAACATGGGGAATGCAACAAATTAGCAAAATGTGCTAAGATATGGCATGTCTGAGGAATGAAGAACCTGAGAGTTTACAGCTGAGGGTAGACAACCTGGAATATGAGGCTGGGGGTAGACAGTGAAATACGTTTAGCTTTATTAGTTTATATGTTATTTATGTATTCACTAGTTTACTTATTTGTGGAAAATGGGTTGCTAGAATATTGAGTATTGTTTCTTGCACTGTTATTTCCCCTTATGAATACAAATTAAGGCAAAAATTTTTACCAAAAACATTTCAAGTTCTGGTCATATGGTTTGCCTTTTCCCTACATTGTATTCTTTTCTCAACTTCTGAATAATATTAAGACTATAAGCCACAGGATAAACTGACTGGATTTATTCCTACCTAATTCTCCTTTGAGATTACTTTTTTTTAAAGTTTATTTATTTAGAGAGAGAGAGAAAAAGAGAGAGAGGGAATCACAAGCAGGCTCTGCACTGTCAGCACAGAGCCCAATGCAGGGCTCCATCCCACGAACTGAGAGATTCCCATGAATCTGAGCCGAAATCAAGAGTCAGATGCTTAACTGACTGAGCCATCCAGGTGACTTGTCAGATTCCTTTCTAATCCAACCATATATTTACATAGCATGCCTGGCCAGAGCAACAATGCAACTTAAGGATGAATCCCCAAATACTAACACTGGGGCAGTATGTAAATTGGACTGAGTTTTTAATGTTGGAAAAACAAGACTTAAAAAAAGAATTCTTGGGGCGCCTGGGTGGCGCAGTCGGTTAAGCGTCCGACTTCAGCCAGGTCACGATCTCGCGGTCCGTGAGTTCGAGCCCCGCATCAGGCTCTGGGCTGATGGCTCGGAGCCTGGAGCCTGTTTCCGATTCTGTGTCTCCCTCTCTCTCTGCCCCTCCCCCGTTCATGCTCTGTCTCTCTCTGTCCCATAAATAAATAAAAATGTTGAAAAAAAAATTAAAAAAAAAGAATTCTTGTTACAATTATGATTAATGCTATGGGTAGTGACGTTTAGGAGTTTGAAAATGAGATAAATAGACCAAGAACACGGCGCGATAAAAACAAAAAAAGGAGACAAAAAATAAAAAATAAGGAAAATGGAGAATAGGGTCAAAATTCAGGAACTATATGGTCTTTCTTCTTCTTCTTCCTCTTCTTTGAAAGGAAATGAGTGATGAATGAGCAGGAAAAATGTCAATAGAAAACACTCAAGAACATGACCTAGAGAGGTATGTCTTAGTGTTGCTTCTTTTCAAAACGTGCCATTATTTTTTGTAATAAAAATGAAGTGCTTACAGTCACTGTTAAACATCACATCACTATAAAATGTACTTTTTATAAATGTCATTTTAGACATTTTTGTTTTTATTTTATTTTTAATGTTTATTTTTGAGAGAAAGCGAGCCAGCGAGCATAGGGGAGGGGCAGAGAGAGAGGGAGACAGAATCCAAAGCAGGCTTCAGGCTCTGAGTTGCCAGCACAGAGCCCGATGCGGGCCTTGAACACAAGAGCAGTGAGTTCATGACCTGAGCTGAAGTTGAATGTTCAACAGACTGAGCCGCCCAGTTGCTCCACTTTTAAAGAAAAACTAAAGTTCTTTCTAGAATTTTCTGCCTTCGTCTTGTAGTTTCTGACACCCCTTCCTCGGTAAAACTGTCATCCCAACTTTTGAAAGTTACTAATAATAAGGCACCATTAATTCATCTCATATTATCTACCAGCTATGTCACATATATCATCTCACCTAAATATTATGACAGTAATACGAAGTTGACATTATTTCTATTTTGTAGCTGCAGATACCAAGATTCAAGTTTTGCACAAGACTACAAACTAGCCGTGGCAGAAACAAGGCAATGTGAATTTAGCTAAATGACTTAACTTTGAAGGGGAGCAGAATATGCCACCCCCAAACAAGCCACTTTGGCATACTGATTATTTGCTTGAGAAACAGTCAGTTCAAGGACACTCTGACTCTGCTCTGTCCCCCGTGAAACAGGAAGTAAATCTTTCAGGTGAAGTTACCCTCCCAGTACCAGGAGGAAGAGAGCCATCCTTATCAGCAGAGATAGGGAATTCAGGGCCAGAAAGGAAGTATAAATAAACCTTGTCTACTTTGGTCACTTTTTGGAGTCTCCTATTTTATGGGCTCCTAGACATATGAAATTAAATTTGTTTTTCTCCTGTTAATCTGTCTTGTGTCAATGTACTTATTAGCCCAGCCCAACAACATAAAAAGGAAGAAGGGAAGAGTTTTCCTTCCCTATACCTATTTCCAAATTTGTAAACTGCGAAAAATCTTAGTATTCATCCAATAGGTTTATTTAATTAATTGAGAAAACCCATAAAACTGCTTAGGACAGTGCCTGACAATCATAAGGACTTAATAAATCAGTGTTGTTGTTGTTATTATTATTATTGCTGTTACTATTATTACCATTTGGATTCCTTGTCCCGTGGGCTTCAACGCTCCAGTTACTTCAACTAAGTTATCCTGGCTTCTTACAAATTATTTCAGTTCTAGAATAAACAAGAAAAGCTTCTAGGGAGTTATATTAATATTTAGGATTCACATCACTTTGTATGTTTCACTTTTCAGGAGCAGACACGTGTGTCCGTGGGGGAGGGGTCTGTTACATGGGCAGAAAAACTGCAATATGAATTCTCACATTCAAGCCCACATTTAGTCTTCTGTTCCTTTTCTTCCAAGCAGCACTTCAACAATAAAGACACTTAAGGAACCCGATCTTTGGTGTGACTTACATGTTCATTTCCTCTTTTCAGCTTCCCCCAAGAAACATGTTCTAGACAGTGGAGGGAAAAAAAATACATAAAAGCAGGAGACACCACACCAATGGCTGCGGGAGTACCACTATCCCCAGCGCTACTCGTTGACAAATACGAAGCCCTACTTTGAAGACTTAAAGCATTTGAGAAACAAAAAAATGGAAGGGACTGTTTGTAAGAGGCTTTCCTATTTCCAAGTTCTCCTCGTACTACTTTCGGCACTCCTCGTCCCATGGTGTACATTTTATTTTTCCTTTAGAGTGTGCCGGTTGGTGAGCCTCAACTCCCGACACCGCCATTCCTCCCTTCGCGGCAAAAAAGACCAAGATGGCAAAACGGCCCTACCCTTTCGCGCCACACTCGCAACGAGAAGCTTCCAACCTCCCCGCACCGTGCCGGCTCCTCTCCGGCGCACACGCTTTCCTCTCACACCGATTTCACAACTCCCCGGGGGTTATCGAAACGGGGCAACGGGCACACCTGGCTGCTAGGTTCGCCGCCAAAGTACTTCGGGTAAAGCGTGTCACGACCGATCCGGAACAACAGTTCTCCCCACCTGATTTCTGACTTTTTTCCCTCCGGGCCCAAACTAAAATCCGAAGGGGCGCGCTCCGAGCCCCAGAGAAAGTGTCTACAGCGGCAACGGTCGCTCGGAGCATGCTCAGTCGGCCCGAAGTCACTGGGCGGGGTTCGCCCCCGCCCGCGGGCGGCCCGCTCGCCGAAAGCCCGGCGCGCTAGCCCCCGCCCTCCTTCTCCACCTCTCCCCTCCCCCCACCCACGCCGGGCGCGCGCTCCAGGGCACCCACGAGGGCGCCCGGCGGCCGCGCCTCCCCTCCGCCCCCCTCCTCCCCCGCCCCCGGCTGCGGCGGGCGAGGACAAGTCTAGGGCCGTAAATAAATAAATAATTCCATTCACCCGGTGACGGCGAGGCGAACCGGCTGCGGCGGGGGGGGTGGGGGCGGGCTGGGGATCGGAGAGCTGCGGCGCCCACCCCGTGCCAGAGACCGGGTAAAGTAAGTACACCCCGGGAGGAAGGGAGGAGGCGGCGGCGGCGCTGGCCCAGAGGCGGGCGAGCGTGCCTCTGCCACGCCAGCTGCCAGCGGAGCCGCACGCGTGTGTAAAAATAATGGCCAGCCCCTGACAAACGCGCCGACGCAGAGCTGGCTAGCGAGCCCTTATATAGACAAAAACCCCCGAGGCGGCCGCGGGAGGAGAGCTCGCGTCAGTCAGACGCGCAGACAGCAGCGCGGCAGCTGCAGGGGCGCAGCCGGCGCGGGGTCGTGCGCGCGCGCGTCAGGGAGGTGGGCCCGGGGGGTCCCGGGCGGGGAGCGCCCGCGCGCCCGCGCGCCCGCCGGCTTATGGCCAGGAGGTGCCTGTGTCCCGAGCCGTTGCGCGGAGACTCTGCCGACGCTGTGCTTCTCCCCCTCTGCTCGCCCCACGAGTCTCCCAAGGCCGGTTCCCACCAGGCGCGTCCCCTGCCTGCTTGTCACCAGCATCTCGCCCCAGGCCCGCGAGCACCCTGGGGTGGCCTCGTTGCCGCAACACCTGGGGACGAGTGGTGGTGAAAAGTGTGGGTAGGGGGCGTCTTTTCTTGTCGCAGACGATCGGGAGTCCGAGAGGCTGGGAGGGGACGGAATACCAGGGAGGGAGGTGTCGTTTTCTTTTTTGGTCCCAGGTTGCATAGTGGGGCGGAGGCGTATGGAAAGATGTGTGCGGGAGAGGCCTGCGCTCGGGCAGAAGGGAGCATGACTGGACCCGGGCCGAGGAGGGCCTGCGCCGCCCGGTATCACGCTGGTTTCCTGCGCCGCTGCGCCGCTCTGGGGGCGCCAGGTCTGTGCAGGTAGTGCGGGAGGCTGGAGACGCGGCTCGCGTGCGAAGTGCCTCCTCTGAGCAGATGTTACGTTGCTTGGCAGCTGCCCTCTGCGGCCCCTTTTCTCCTTTACTTCCGCGAGAGGGATTGCAGACTGCCTTGGCAAAGGCGGTCGTGACCAGGGCCACTTTCCCGGTAGGGCTGGCGAGGGGAGTTTGTGGTCTACTCCGGGGATATTAAAATTATGTGCGGGCGCGCGCGCGCGCGTGTACACACACACACACACACACACACACACACACACACACACACACACA